GCTAGTTGAAAAGATATATAATTGATTTGTTTACATATAAATCTGAGCTACAGATAGATAACGTATGTAATTCTTTTTTTTACTGTTTATATGTAAGATATTGGATGCTTTAGGTATAGTAAACTACGGCCACTAAAAAATATTTTATCCTTAACTCAATATTTATGGGCTAACGCATATAACAATAGTCTAATGCCTATGGTGGAAGATTCCCCACGTACTTAGTACTTACATACTGATTACTGACATTTTATTTAAATTTTAATAACGTAAAAAGGGCTTATAAAAATCTATTTGAGATATTAGTTTATAAATGGGTAAGTTCGTATTTTGTGTATATTTATTACTCTAACAGGAAAAACGACTGGACGGATTTGGATGAAAAGTACAGATAGTATGACCTCAAGTAACACATAGGCGTCTATAAAGTTAGCAAAATCCTTGAACTTGTCTAAAAGACGTATATTTTCCTTTTAAAACCTATTTTTATATAATTGGAAACCTTGATAGTTTTTACGTCTCACAGTATTTGAAGTAAAAGTCTATTATAGTTCTGACAAGGCCAGAATTATTAATCCTACAACAAAAAGTTTATAACCGCAGTATTTTTGTTTCAGATTAACATAGTGTTAGGTGTTGTGAAACTGATATGTCATTGAGTTCACATGTTTATTATAGATGTGTACTAGCGACTCACCCTCGCTCCGATCAGGTTCGTTCCTACTTACGTTTCAACATTTAGTATAGATTTATTTGAGAAGATGAGATATATTTCCGTTAAAGTATCCTATATGTTGACCCGGATAACCAGCTATCCACCATACCAAATTTCATCAAAATCTATCTAATGATTTTCTCGTGATGCGTTCCCAGACAGACAGAGAAAAATTCAAAAACTAATAAATTCGGCCTCTGTATCGATAATTACGATTATTTCAATAAGATATTCCTAAAAATATTTTATGTAGGTACAGATTCGATAAAACGCCCTAATATTATTAATGCGACTACAGTTAGTGAGTGTATTTTACGTAGGTGCGTTACGATTCAAAGATTTTAAGTGTTTGGAATGGCGATAGCTAAGTGACAGGTTTTACCAATTTGTTTGCATGCATGCATTCAGCCCTCTTTAACGTCCCACTGCTGGGCACGGGCCTCCCTTCAATACGAGGGGGATCAGGCCATAGTTCACCACGCTGGCCAAGTGCGGGTTGGCGGACTTCACATGTCTTTCGAAAACTTGCTAGGTTCTCTCAGACATGCAGGTTTCCTCACGATGTTTTTCCTTCACCGTAAGGCAAGTGGTAATCATGTTAGAAATGATTCGCACCTGAAAATATCAGAGGTGCGAGACCCGGGATTTGAACCCGCTTCACTCGGTTTCTAAAGCGAGCGCGTTACCACTGGGCTACCACTGCCAATTTGTTTAAAAATGCTGTATAAATATGAAGTGGCAAAGGAAAAATTCGGATGCGGAACACACTGTCCGTCCATATCTCGTCTAGTGGTAAAATTAAAATACTTAGGTAAAAAAAACTGTATCTCTACTATAGCACAACCTACCAAGTCCAACTATAACTAACAACCCAGAAGGTGACCCTTTCTTACTTGATAACTGATAAATAAACAAAAAAAAACTAATTCCGTACATTTTAACCAACTTTCAAAAAATAGAGTTGCTCAAACGTTGCTTATTGATTATAGAGCACCTTGCTCGATACTTTCATTTTCGTTTATGCTGTATTATACTCGTTCATCCTCATAAATATATTTTCATATAAAAGATGATGGAGTTTGAACAAACACTAAGAAGATAAAAAACCTAGACAATGCCTTTATCAAAGAATTAATTTTATTTATGCTTTGAAGTTTTAACATGTTTCATTACATACATTTTATAGATACGAGAGAGAAAAAATAAAACACATGTAAAACGAATTATATATATTCAAAATAAATAACACAGTTAAATAATTACAATAAACTAAAACTTAACTATCTACATATAATAAATAGTATGTATATTGATATACCAGAAAACAACATATATACATTCAAACTTTAGCTTTAAATATCTAAGCCGATTGACACTCGGAAACGCTATGATGGCGTAATTCAACCTAAGGGCTAATGCACACTATGATTTATAAACGCGCCGTTTATATCGCCACGTTTTATAACGCACTTTTTAATGCACTGTCAATGCGCGGTTGTGTTCGCGTGTATTTTTCTAATTGTGTATATTTTTCTACCTATATAAAGACAAATAATATGTATTTTTTATAATTATAAGCGAAAATACGCGCCACCGACTTGTGTTTATGATACGTGCAACGACATAGTGTTTATAAAACGTAGTGCGCATATACCTTAGAGCAGTGTTACTCAAAAATTTAGATCTACCCCTATTGATTGTGAAACCCTTCCCTAAGTAACTGCTACTGCCATACAGAATTTAATTATTTAATTGGTCGTAAAAATTCCACCTTTTCACTTAAGCCTAAGCATAAATAACCATTTTAAATAAAACATTTTTTTACTCTCCTTGTTCAAGTGGATAATTTCACGTATCCCTACTTTAAAATATTTTCGTAATATTTTATAATTATCTATGAAAGTTTGTGGAAAGGGTGACAAACATATTTTAGTAACACATTGAATGATTTATACCTTATAATTGATACAACAGTGAACTAATAGATATCTCTGCAGCGTCTCGAACTATAAACTTAACTTACTTAAAGTCCATATACCTTTATATTTTCTAAGAAAATTTCAATAAATCATTATTATCGTATTGTATTGCTATTGAGCTTATTATATAAAACACGTATATACATACATTATAATAATGTAAACCTATATTAACATATTATTTTGTAAATCGTTACTCAAATTAAGAAGCACTGCTATTTGAAAGCTATCTTATACAATATAAGAAAGAGGAACGTGTGAATGCGACTAAACACCAATACTTAAAAAAATACATTTAGACGAACATAGAACCTCGTCCTTTTTTAAAGTCGGTTAAAACAAAAGATGATGTTATTTCACAAAAATATACTTGGGGATACCTGCAAAGAACATTACTGTAGCTCAGTATTTGGGTCTATGCGTAGTGCGTTTAGCGTTAGTATCGATCGCGAGTTCGTATCGAGTGTTGGTAACGCTAATAATCTGCATAATATCAGCTCCGAATATGGTAAACATACGTGAATGATACACGCGTCCCGGCGCGTTTATAAAACGCAGTGTGCATAGGCCCTTAAGATAATTTTATAATATAAAGTATTTATTGCATATAAATATTTTAAGTGGCTACAATATTGAGTTACTATATTATACTTTGCAGGATTCAATATAGTTCATCATGAAGCTGTTATTTGTATGTATATATTCAGCCCTTTTTAAGTTCCCACTGCTAGACACGGGCCTCCCTTCAGTACGAGGGGAATCGGACCATAGTCCACCACGCTGGCCAAGTTCGGGTTGGCCGCTGTTATTCAACAATTATTTATTATTACAGACGTAGAAATATAATTTCCAAACTTATTATTTAAGAACAAAACGCGTAATTTTTTCTGTTGCAATATTTTTTTCTTAAATAATTTTCTGACTAATACAATACTTATCCACCAGTAAATAAGACAGTTGATTCATACATATTAAATAATACTATATAACGGGTAGGTACATAATCTGATTTTTATGAATACATATATATAAATATAGTACATTTTTATTGTTATTTACAAAAAAAATTATCTAAGCATAATAAATATATATATATATATATATATATATATATATATATATATATATATATATATATATATGCAAAATATATTTTCATTTATAAAAAAAATGCAATTTATTTTTAAGTAAACACACAGTATCTACTAGCTATCTATAAGAGATTGACAGCACAAAATTGTTCAACTTTCAGAAAATAAATTAAAATATACATATGTTTAGAACAGCCTATATATTACAAAATATTTGAATTAAATATACCTATAACAATAACACATAAAATGTTTGCTATCAGAATATATAAATTATTTTAATACTCATAAAATGAAGTTATTTTAAAAAGTTTAGTTAACGCTATTTTACGCTGACTGATCTAAACCACATGATATAGAGTGGTGTTTATTTTGGAAACTTGAAATAAAAAAATATATATAAGTAACTTAATAGTAATCCAGTTTGAGCGAGAATAAAACATTATTGCCTGTTTTCACCAACAACGCATACGCTATCACCTACGTATGGGATCCCTAGCTCAAAAGTCTCCTAAACTAGCCTCTAAATTAAATTTTGTTTTACGATCGTCTTTAAGCCCATGTTTCGAGCACCTAAATTTAGGGGGTTTTTAATATTTAGGTGACCCCTAACTGTCGGTGAAACAGAAACTGTCCCCTAACAGCCCCCTAACCATGCTTAGGGGATCCCTTAAAGTTAGGTGACGTTGGTGAAATCGGGCATATAGCTTACATATCTATGTATTTAGGTAGTTTTATTTAATTTAAGTTTCAATGAGCTTTTAAGCAGGGCAAAGTAAAGAAATCTTTACTAAAGTTGAATGAGACGAGGAATATTTATAAAAAAAAATTCTAGATATTTCTTTCAAAGTTAGCCCTTATTTAAAATCTAAAAACTGAATACGCAAATCAGATTAAGACAATATAATAGACGGAGCATGAAGCATCTACAACAATAAAAGGCGCGAAACAAAGCTGTCAATGTCAATTTAGTACTAATCCAATATAATTATACTAAGTTTTGAACGTATTTACTTTTGTTCTACGAAACAATATAATTATTTTGTTTCTATTGTTTATATTTGCATATAATGTGTCTTCGGAAATGGTATTATAAAAAGTAAATTATAATACGATTTCAGGCTTCAACTAATATTCTGCACCGCCTATGTTATCATTTTAGTCTGAGACAAACATAAAGGTTCAAAAGACACATAGTGTCGCTTAAGACAATCAGATGTACTGCGCAAATTGTATCCAGTAAGTGGCGTTGAGGACCGCGAAGAGTAAGGGGAAGAACACGCGAGAGAACCGGTCGATGCTGATCGCGCGCATACGAGCCTTTGCTGCTTCAGCTGGTTCCTGGTTTAGTTTTAATCACACTATATATTATAATCTATGAAAAAGAAAAACAAATCTATCCCACGGGAACCATACACTTTTCCGGGATAAAAAGGAGCCTATGTGTCATTCTGATATATGAGTTATATTATTGTAAAATTTCATTAAAATCCATTCAGTAGTTTTTGCGTGAAAGAATAACAAGCATCCATACATCTATACATCTAGACATCCATACATCCTCAAAAACTTTCGCATTTATATAATATAAATGCGAAATATAATATTAGTAGGATTAGACGGATTATGTGTGTTTGTTGTTGATAAAACGTCTAAACGGATTTGGATGAAAAGTAAACAGAATATGACGTGCGGCAACAAATAGGCCTTAGTATTTTAAATAAAACTATCTTTTAGGATTTTGTCGCGGATTTATTTGCATTTTCGCAAATCAAAGCAAATCCGCGACAAAATCCGAAAAGATAGTTTTATTTAAAATGTCAAATATTCGCGTAAATCTAAGAAAGTATTAGGCCTTAGTAATAAAAAAAATCCAAAAGGCGGCGTTTTCTGTATAATATTACAAATACAAAAGACATATAGGATTCACTTAGTTAATAATATGTACTTAAATACTAAAAAATATACGTAATTACCTATATTTTCGTTACAAAGTGTAATGAAAACACTTCCAAGTGCAACCAAATGTGTTCAAATATGAAGAGTTACAGTATCACTAAAAAGTTCTGTTATACATTTCGTGCATCAATAATCATATAAGCTTAATGATATTATTGCTATACAGATACACTTATAATGTTTCAACCGATACGACAACTAGAAGTATATAAATCGTCATCATCACGTCACAGGCAGTTCATTTACTGGGTATAAAAAATAGGGGATGAAGTGAACATAGAGAATAAAGTCACAAACATGAATATTTATATCTGCAGCATTCTGCAGAAGCATCTGCTAAGGACGAATTTTTCGAAACGCCACCCTTTCAGGGCCTACTATGTTTTTATTGGTTATTTGAACGCGCTAACCTGGGAGCAGCGGTCCAACGCTAGGCATTGTTATAAAAATCATATCCATTATCCAATCATACGACATTTGAGTATTTGACTCTAGGCGAGAGTAGAGAGCAGGAGCGACATCACACGTGCTCCGCAAAACCCACAGAACAGAATTTACCGCCAGTAAGTACTAAGTAGAAAAATAAAAAATACATGCTATGATCATAAAAATATAAAATCTTAATCGAAAGTAGGTTTTCTTTAAACAAAAAATAAAAAAGCAGTTTAAATCTATATTCTACATTCTAACCGGATCTCATCCTAAGAACAGACAGACAGAACAGACATACAGAACATCTAGAAATAAGTTGAATAAGAACGGGCTAAGAGCCGAGCTCTGGTGGATCCCTACAGTGATCGGCTCGATATATCCAACAGCGGTTCTAACCATGGAAGCGGAATCTCATACTAAGTAGTACAGAAAATTTACGTTATGAATTCTTCCATACTATAAAGATTAGTATGCATTCTCATTGTCATAAGTCGTGCGTCATTTGGCTTTTCATATGATCGTCCACTACATTTATTTATCTTTGCTAAACAAACGAGTCAAGAAACAAAACTTATCACCGTCCCAAATATCGCGTGACAACATAATCCTCGTAAAATCCCTGCTGATGGATTTTTTGCAAATGTGTTTTTCTACTGTTTTCTTTTATTCCTTGACACAGATTTAAAATCTTTTTTAAGTGTTGCTGCTATTTACTTTTGCTTATCCGCAACATATGTGTCTGACTAATATGTTCTTCTTCATCTTTAGTTTAAAAATTTAAATTCATTTTAATTTAAAAGAAGGATGTATAAATTAGCACATTTTTAAAAAATATATATTTTCGGATTTTATCGCGGATTTATTTTGATTTTTGGTTTCCGACGTTTTGAATGCTTTACAGCAGTCGTGGGCTCGGGAGAGACTCTCCTGTGACCGAAATCCGCGAAATAGTCCGAAAATATAGTTTAATTTAAAATGTCAAATATTCGCGTAAGTCAAAGAAAGTATTAAATTTGCACTTTGCTGAAGAAGCAAACAGTAAAAAAATGAAACTAAACTGCGTTAAACGCTGTTAACCGATAATGGATGCGATTATAGAATGTGATGATGGGAATCCCAAATTTAAGAAAAGAAATGACAATGATATCGTATGATATATTTATTCGTAAAATTAACAAATTAATTGAACAAAATCCGACAAAGAGCCATGTCACAGAAATCGACACAGACATACAAACATACGGCTAAAAATTCAAAGTTTTATTTTAATCCGCTTAGCTGATAACTTGAAGTATCCGCAAATAAAGCAAAAGATAAAATTTCAAGTATGTTTTCTGTCATATGTTCGAAATAAAATTATTTATTTGCTATTAATGCTATCTAATCTTCAGTTCTGCATACTGTCTCTAGTCTGTACGATTTATTATAGTACCTAGCCAACTGAGCTTAGCGCGGCGTTTTTCGGTAAAGATATAAAAAATGGGGTTTTTAGAAAAAATATCTATATGTATACTTAAAAAGCAGAAACTTATCTAAATTATACATAATTTAACTCTAATCTTTAGAGCCGTTTCCGAGATACACGAAATCAATTTATCAATCAATTTATCACCTTTAATATTATAAGAACACTCTTTTTACCTGACTGCGGCGAAGCTCAAAGGAGGGTTATGTATTTGACCTGTATATAGTTTTTCAGTTCAGGTTTTGATGACTCATACGTTGTTCAATTCGTTTTGATAACTCAAGTATCATAGGGTGTATAGATATCATTAAAAATATTTTTTTTCGACCGAATCAATCGAGTGGGTCATCAAAATACAGAGTTTTAAAAGGTGTTACTAACATATATAGGTAAAACTTATATATTTAAAAGTAATTTAGGATAAGAAATATTTAAATAAAACTATAAATGTTTAACTGACAAAAACTGAAAAGCTGTAAATAAAAAAATAATGTACAAAAATGAAAAAAAAACAGACTGCGTAATAGCAAACTTAAAAGACGAGAACAAATTGATGAAGGAACATAGTATTATTCAATCGGAGATACATGTTTTAGAACAGCTTCATGTGTGTATGTCTCCGACAGCATAATACTGTGTTTTTTCGTCAACTTGTTCTCATCTTTTTAGAACATTTTAATCAGTCGGCTTTTTTATTTTTATAATTTTTTTTAACACATTCATTACTATAACTAATAACTATGTAATAAAAAATGGGACTATTTGACCTACTTTTAACTGTCGTATCGATTTAAAACTTCATAAGTGAAATTTGGATGACAACACTTATTTGATACCATAAAGCTCATTTGATGTTGGAGACAGGTGATTCATAGCGGACCCCCTTTTTGAATTTGTTCTAATAAATTTCTGATTGCTTTGTTTCAAGAGTAGGTGTTATATTATGTGACAAAACTCAGACGATGAAAGTGAATATTGGCACTTAGAATTTGGACTCATTTGGTTTTAGGTTCTTACATTATCATTATCAACTATTTAATCCAAATTTTTATACAATGGAAAATACTTTTTATATTTTCGTTTCATTTTACTTTTAAAATGTCTTCAAGATCGCGAGTCCGAAGCTCGCAAACAAATGCCACACAAATATTTTTACAGTCTGGGTCTTTTGTATTACGGGTTTAAGACCTCTAATTGTAAATTAGGGGGCACTTGCACGAACATTCTTGACTCTTCATCTGATTTATACTATAAATATTATATTAAGAAAAAATCAAGCAGTATTTGGCTAAACATACATTTTAGGAATTTCAAATCAAATGTAGATCAATTAATTTCGTGTAAGAGAGAGAAAATTAAAACTTAATTAAGAATACTGAGTTAAAACGAAATTATCTATTTATATAAATAACTACAAATCTATCCCACGGGAACCGAAATTTTTCCTGGATAAAAAGTAAGCTAAGTGCTATTCAAGGCTATAATATATCTCTGTATCAAATTTCATCCAGATCCGTTCAGCCGTTCTGAAGTGATTATGTAACAAACAAACATCCATCCATCCAAACTTTCGCATTTATAATATTTATGACATTACACTCACCTTGGGTTTCGCAGCTCTATCATCTAATATGATATTGACCAGGCAGTACTCCATCAACGCCATGAACACGAATCTAAGAACAAAAGGAATTAGGAATTTTGAAAGTACAGTTCACAATTACAGTACCGAATCCGCTAAAAGTTTGGGGCACATCAAATAATGAACCCTACATTCAGTTTTATTTTACACTAAGAGTATTTTAATGCCGATTTTATGTATTAATTAGATAGGTACCATTCAGCTAATCTAGTGGCAGTTGGCAGGTGTATTGTGAAATTTTTCAGTGGTTTAAAATTTTCGAGTTGGACATTTCGAAAACGTCCATCTAGTCCTCGCAAGCTGTTTAGCGAGTTGTTGGACCAACGGACTTTGGTTTTGCTCTCCTTCCTTTATCTTACCCTCTTTCCTTTTTCTGGTCGAGTCCATAAAGTCACTTATTTTGTACATTTGAAATATGCACCATTTTTCCCTATTATTTTCCATTAAGCGTTGCGCGTAATGTATGCGCGTATGTCTTTTATTTCAGTTTTTTTTTTACCTGAACGCGATAAATCCTAAAAGGAGTGTTAAGTGAGACTTTTAGATATAGGTTTCGCTCAATCTGGTTTAATGTAATTATTTGTGGTATAACTATTCTGTTCATACATAACAATCTATATATTAGCTTAGTAAGCTCATTATCCGGAATATTAATATTATTTAAAACTCACACAGTGCACACAGACATGAAGGCGTCCACCGCCTTCAGATAGGAGACGGGCGGCAGCTGCGCCTGCGACTTGGCGTGCTGCGTGGACAGCGTCAGCAGCGACGTCACGCCCAGCGTCACGCGCGCCGGCGCCGCGTCCGGCTTGATCCAGAACGACACCCACTGCGCACCACCGACACAACCAATCAATGAATCAATCAATATGATGGGACATTAACACACGGCACCATCTAGTTCCATGGTAAGCTACGAGGCCTATGTTATGGATACCAGATAGTTGATACTATTTTTATTGACTACACATATATAACTATAAATACATACATATTATAAATATCAATCAATCGAAATATACTTTACTAGCTGTGCCCCGCGGTTTCACCCGCGTTCAACTTGTTTGATTGTAAACATCAGTTTTACAATAGCGTATGAAAGTCTGCCCGATTGGTTGACATTTACCTATAATTATTTCTCCACTCCCTTACGTATAGCATGACGGTGTATAGCCTACAACAAACGGTGTGCGTCCACAACAAACGGGCTGTCTAATGCAAAAAGAATTTTTCAAATCGGATTAGTAGTTCCTGAGATTAGCACGACCAAACAAACAAACAAATAAATATATATAAATAAATAAACAAACAAACAAACAAACAAACAAACAAACAATGATAAATTGATATACTAGAGATCTTATTGGTGTGTGTGTGTGTGTGTGTGTCTGTGTGTGTGTGTGTGTCTGTGTATTAATAGTAGTGCTCGATACAGAACGACATTCACTTGATGGATTATTTATAGTTTCAATTTGTAACTTTCAAATAACACTAATAATAATAATACATGTAATAAAATTGTAACTAAGCCGAATCTGTACATTAAATATTTTTTGGAAAATCTTTTTGTAATAGACATTACCATCGATACAGAGACCGAATCTATAGTTTTTAGAATTTTTGTCTGTCTGTCTGTCTGTTACCGCATCACAGAAAAACTACTGGAGGGATTTTGATGAAATTTACAATGGTGATAGCTGGTTATCCGGGTCAACATATAGGATACTTTTTACCGCGGGAAAATATCTCATTCTTGAGAAAATCTACAAAAACTGCAGAGTATACTAATATGTAAAACCTAATAATTTGCTTTTTGGTCATCTGAACGCGGGCGGAGCCGCGGGCAATGTTAGTATTATATAAAAATAATCAAGGATTTATATAAAAAACATTATTACTTTGTGAATTAGCCATTCAAACTTGTTCTCTATGGATCAATATGTGGTTGGATTAATAGCATTTTATTAAAATAAATGAACGTAATGGTACTCGTATAATAAAGTCACGCGTTTGAAGTTTCGCGGTAATTGGTAACCTCCCATGTAATTTGCATAAGTTTAATATATGTGATCGCCATGGAGAGCCATGATGTTGTGGTTTATTTTATAAGAAACTCGCTTCGCCATCGCTTTACTGACAATTTCATTGAAAACTTGATTATATTGTTTTTATGTAAGAAATTCAAATAAATAAATAAATAAATAAAAAATGGTCAAATAATAATATAAAAAAAACTCAACTAAATTATAGCTAGAAACTATCTACATAAAAGAATCATCAAAATCGATCAAGCCTTTTAGAAAGAGAAAGATTTACGAACACGAAATTTTATTTATATAGTATTCCTCACTGCGGTTTGGCGCGTTGCTTTTTCACGTTTAAACCGCTGAACAGATTTCGATGAAATACGGCAAGGACATAGTTCACATCTTGGGTACGGACCTACGCTACCCGCCATCCCTGTCCCGCCCACCTCTCTCTACTGTATATGCTATAAACAAAATACTCTATGCTCTTTTCATCACTGGGTAAGTTATTTGTTTTTTTTTCTTTTGTTACCTATCTATAGTAGTGTTGTAGACATCTAAAGCATTTACGATTCTATTCTATTGTTAGAATATGTAATTTTAATATATTATTCCGCTTTCTATTAGCGATATTGACAGTAGAAAGTTATCTAGTCTCTCGTGTATATAAAACAAAAATATGGTTGTAAATCTTACCGACATAATGACGATAAGGCAAGTCGGTATGTAGGTATTGAACAGGTGGTAGCCGAGGCGTCGCTTCAGTTTAAATATTACTTCGAGACACGTAAAATTTCCTGAAAAATAAAAATAATCATTTCTTAATATAACTTATAATATTACACGTGTAATTCTTCTCGGAATAGGCTCTAACATATATATTGATGTAAGTAAATATAATAAATAACAAACATGTTGGGACATTAACACTCATCACCATTTAGTTCCATGGTAAGTTACGATCGAGGCTTGCGTTTTCGATACCAGATAGTTGATAAAGCACAGATATATTATACCTTTAAATACATACATATTATAAATATAAACACCCATGACTGGAGTACAAACATTCGTGCTCATCACACTAATGACTGCCCCCAGCGGGACTCGAACCCGCGACCGCCGGCTCAGCAAGTAAGTAGGTACTACAAACTGAGCCAAACCAGTCGACGAAGTATTTTCCTTAAAAAATATCATACGTAATACGTATACATATTTTTAATTAAAATCCCATATTAGTTAAACTATAAACTTCGTTAATCACTTGAGATATTTTACAGACTTTTATCTAATAATCCTTTATCAGTTGTAAAAAATTCAAACACAATAATGTCCAGTAAAAAAATTTGGCACAAGGATGGTTAATATCTAAAAGTAAACAAGTCACGCCATGGTAATAGAAGATTAAGATTAACACTATGTATATAGATTATTGTAATCTTTTACTCGTAACTCTCAAAATTGCTAACATCGTTTATAGCCTGCCTTTAGATAGATCAAAATGCCTTGAAAGAAGTGACTGCATTTACCTAGTATATGGTGAAATCATCAAATAAAATATGTCAAATTCATACTAAGTAATATTATAAATATCAAAGTTTGTGAAGATGGATGGATGATTGTTACTCTTTCACGCTAGAATGGCTGAACGGATCTGGATAAAATTTGGCACAGAGATAGATTATACTCTGGAATACTATACTGTACAATATACATAGGTTACTTTTTATCCCAGAAAAATGCACGGTTCCCGTGGGATAGATTTGTTTTTGTCTAGAGACGAACCCGAAGCGAAGCATGGGTGAGTCGCTACTAATATAAGATTATTATTTTTTTATACTATTCAGAATTAGTGCTTGACTACGTTCCATCTGATGGTAAGTGGTAACGCAGTCGTAGATGGTTAGTCGCACTAATTCAGTAGCCACCTATTCACTCTTGCCTTGAAGACACCCATGTTGTAATTGGACGGAAACACCGACGCAGGCAGGTTGTTCCAATCCTTAGCCGTACGTATAATAAATGACATAGCGAAACGCTTCGTCCGGACGGGTGAAATGTCTACGACATAAGGATGGAGACCAGCCGTTCGTCGGGAAAGGGGTTGGGGGAATTAATTCATGTAGTTCCTGCGCACACTCTCCGAAATGTAACCTATAGAATACACAAAGGCTGGCAAGCTGTTAAAGGGTTTTTATGTTTATATTCTTTATCCTTCTTTGACGGGTTGGTATGACTTTTATTGTATTTAATGAAATCTCGGGAAGTGCCATAAGCTATTTTATACCATGAATGTGTCATGGGTTCGATTTTCATCACACATGCTTATATTAATCACAGACAAATATTACATAGTGAAAAGTACTGGCTTATTACCAGTAGAATAAACTTGCGTGCAGTCCGCCGTCCTGTTCTGCACGAGCTCCAGTTGAGGCAGTTCTATATTTTCATCCACTACCAGCGGAACTTCTGGATCCCATTGGAAAATCAGGTCGTCAGTCGTGTGCGACACTGGAAAGTGAGATGATAAAATATTTATTGTAGTTAGACATAAATGAGTAATTTTTAGGGTCCCGTATAATAATAAAAATTCCATGGGCTTATGTTGCTGTCCATGATACCCTTGAAATTGTTTACACTTTAATAAGTTATTATATTAGAATCAATACAAATACACCGTACATAATTGAACCCGTTATATTCAGCTCAATTGGTAGTGTCACTCACATAACTTATACGTCAATGATGTGAACGATATGAATAAAAATTAGCATGTACTCGTAATTTATAATGTAAGAAAGGCAGTGGTAGCCCAGTGGTAACGCGCTCGCTTAGAAAACCAAGTGAAACCGGCTCAAATCCCTGGACTCATTTCATTAAAAAAAATGTAAAGTACGATATAGGTTCTTAAGTGAAATACCTACGATAATATGATTTATATGTAAATTTTCATATTTAAATTTTAATTAATTATAAAACAGAGTTAATTATAATATTAAAAAGTTTAAACGACTAAGTTTTATTGCAAAAATATAAAAGTATATGAGTTATGAGGCGGAACAACAGTTATATATATGTGTAGTGTATCAACTATCTGGTATCCATAACACAGGCCTCGTAACTTACTTACCCTGTAACTAGATGGTTCTGTGTGTTAATGTGCCAACAAATGTATTTATTTATTAACAAAATAACCATTAATGAAATTTCCAGGTCCTACAGCAAATGGAAAATTTCTTTCTTAAAATGTAAGAGTTAAAGGTGGGCATATTCTTAAAAGCTCTCTAATAAAGGTAACAAAAACGGGACGTATGCACTTATATAAAGTACATAACGATTTTGAACAAATAACAAGCCTTCAAAAATACCTTCTAGTGGGCCTTACCTATTTATGGCGATTCTCAACTCAATCGTGGCTTCAAGTATCTCCAGATAAAACGAGCTGACATCACAAGAGATGAGAACACTTGGCCTACATTTAAGGTGCTACTCGAGGAATCAATTTCTGTATCGCCCCACAAACTTTACCCTACGAGTGCTTTGAAATATTTGTAGCCGAGGACCCATTGTGCGAATATATTTTTAAAATTTTCGATACATATTTTCCCTCTTTCATTTCAAACGTAATGATGCTTTTTGCTATCAAGTAGTTAATTAAATTGAATATATAAATAACGGTATTTTCAATGCCGACTTTTATTTCTGTGTATGAAATAAAAAATATTTATTATAATATTGTCGATCCACTAATATTTGATTGTGTAGCTTTTGATAGTTTTTCATTGAGGCACTGTTTATGTATCAAAGAACACACGATCTAGACGAGAATTGACTCCAAAAATGTCCTTTTTAAGGAAAGCAAATCACCTGTATTTTTCGTTTTGGATAATTCTTGTTTTGTTTGAAAGTGTATACTTCCAGATTGGTCCCATTTAAATTTTAAAAAATACCACCCCTAAGGGTGGAAAAATAGCGAATGATAAATTTAACCTACTTTAATTGTCATATTGACTTGAAACTTTGCAAGTGTTTCTATTTCCGTTGATACAGCAGTGGTTCGGTATTGTTGACCTGATCTGATTTTAAGGCTAAAAGGTGGATAGGTGAAACTTTTCAACGGCTAATAGTAGATATTTTGGGTTTGGGCTTATTTTGTTTGATTTGACAAGCCCAATACGTTAAAATCGGATTTTAGAGCCAGAATTTTAAGTGTTACTAATAAAAGCGAATTTTAGTTTGTCAGTCTTTATATAAAAATTGGCATCAAACTAACTTAAACGGATTAAGCGATTTAATATTTTATTAAAATATACTTTCTGATTCCTTTGCTACTACTATGCCTACACTAAAAAAGGAAAAATAAAAACTTAAAAAACAAAATCGACTTCAAAAAAAACACTAAAAAGTAAAAAATAGCTTATTGGTAGTTTTAATGTACTATACATACCTCATCAAATATTTTCGAAATCGGTGTGCTTTGCTTTGTATCGGCTGGCACCGACTTCGAAAATATTTGATTAGGTATTTATAGTAAATGAAAACGAGTAACCTGTTATTTTTTACTTTTTATACTTTTTTTTTGAAGTCGTTTTTTTTTTAATCTTTTTATATAAAACCAAATGAACAGACGGTTCTATTAATTAATTTGATACTGTACACATTAATCGGAGTTAGCAGAAAAATTCTGACTGAGGTACCGGCTCGTCATAATAAAACGTATAAATTAGCCGGCGTGACTGAATAATAAAGAAAAAAACACATGCTTAAGCACCCTTTTTATGTCAGGTAATAACAAGACGAGGTGGCCGAGTGGTTAAGGCGTTGGACTGCTAATCCAATGTGCTCTGCACGCGTGGGTTCGAATCCCATCCTCGTCGAAATATTTTGCCCAGCAGTGGGACGTATGGTTAGTATTCCAACGATATTGTTCGCTACTGTATTTGTAGGACGAGGTGGCCGAGTGGTTAAGGCGTTGGACTGTTAATTCAATGTGCTCTGTACTTGCGGGTTCGAATCCCATTCTCGTCGACTATATTTTATGATAATCAATTGTTATATATTTTTTTATAAAGAAATATAATTGCTTAATATGTTACTTTTCATTAAAAAAATAGGTAAAGTTAGGCTAATGAAAAGTATCTAATATCTGGTATATAATATAATAGATCTTTTATTTCCGTAAAACATATGCTGTGATCAGTATATGCATACAGCATAGGTATCCCCATATCGAACCGCACAAACAAAATGATGAATTGGGAACAATCATAAGTATTATAATTTATACATATTATAAATAAATCGTATCTTGACAATCTGTTCTCTCTTTTCAACCGACTTCCTCAAAAAGGAGGTGCTCAATTCGGCTGTATGTTTTTGTTTATGTTTGTTACCTCAGAACTCCGTCATTTATTAACCGATTTGGACAATTATTGTTTTGTTTGAAAGTGTATACTTCCAGATTGGTCCCAATTAAATTTCAAAAAAAAAAATACCAGCCCTAAGGGTGGAAAAATAGCTAATGATGAATTTATCCTACTTCTAATTATCATATTGACTTGAAACTGCATGTGTTTCTATTTCCGTTGATAGTGCAGTGGTTCGGTATCTGATCTGATGGTAAGTAATACTAAATCTAAAGGTAATTTGTTAAAAAGTTTCTTACAAACATATTGTTTTTTAAATACGATTATATTATATTTTGTAAGTATACTTTATACTACAAGAACTGTAAAAGGTCATTAAACCCAAGTCAAATGACTTGAGCTAACATAATTCTACAGGAATAAAAGAGTTTTTCACTTAACGTTTTCAGCTACTAATTGGTACTTCATAACATAAAATGCTGAAGTAAAGCATCTTGCTTAAAATATTCATGTATAATTTTCCTCAACAGTTTTAAAAAGTAAAGAGCAAAGTTACACGAGCGATACAGCCGATTATGAAACTATGGTAATTTTGAAAATCATGACAACGGTCGAGTGCTTGTTATCGACTTTATCTTGTTAAAGCTTGCGCTTTTAAATACTTTGTAAAGAATAAGTTAAAATATCCAAATATTGTGAAATATAGTTTTTACAATTATATGTTCTAAAAAGTTTATTTTACATAATATATTTATTATATCAAAAGTTCGAATCATCTCAATATGAATTCGCCTTGCAGTGGTGGCTCAGTAGTGTGAAGTGAAAGAAACTTGGAATATACTTGGGAAATGCCTATTGGCCTCAGAGGGGAAGGGTCATCCTCCCACGATAAAAGTCACTGGGAGGAGCTTACCTAAGCGCCTGCTGAGAGCAACCCCTAGGTCATTGTGGATGGAGAGCAAGATAAATCTATTAAAAACTACCCCTAATCTGAAAGCCGGACAAGCTGAGGGGATCCAGTCGAAGGTGGTTTTAGGTGAAAGAACACCTGACTCGCAAGGCCAAGTCGTCGTGGTTAAATATTAATTTTGAAAGAGAGTAATATAGACACATTATTCGTTATTGTGCTCTAATTTATGTTACATTTATAACTGAAACTTCGCTGGTTTATGTACTATGTATATCGGATTAATTTTAAATATTATTGTACTGTATGTTTACCAAATATTAAAAAAAAATAAAAATTAAAAAAATAATTAAAATAGATCCTTCGGCGCCCCAAAAACTGAAGGTTTTAATGGATAGTACTGACTGATTTTGGCAACAAATTACCACGTTACTATATGTATGTATAAAGGAGGTATGCTTAAATGCATTTCCTATAATATATCAAAATAAAGGGGCGAAGTGTATCGCGATTATCACAAAAAATAAAAATAAAATCTACCTAAGTTAAGATTTGCAGTGCTCCAAAAAAAACGAAATTTACAAGAAATAGTATCTTTTACCTCGACGTAATCCTATAGACTTATAAAATGACTTATCCTTACTGATTCATCAACGTCGAGGCAATACAGAGTCAGGAATACACTAAGTGAATGTTTTTATGGAAAGTAAAATATTTTTGACATAAACCTTTGACTCTTTGAGGTAATTAGTGTAACAATATTATCATAATATCAACTGAAACAAAAGCTCTAAAAAAGTGTTTCCATCTACATTTAATCATCTTGAATTTTTTCCAAAAAAAAATTGATGCCACATTTTTATAATTTCTATTTTTAAATAAGGGTTCGCGCCATTGAACTTGAAAACCTTTGTCGTTAAGGGCTCAATCTAACCTTGCCGATCGCAATATTGCCAGTAATAGACCCAGCTATATATAGGTTAATCTGCCAGCACAAGTGCTTGGAGAGCCTCTTACACCGCCACTAGTGAGGGCCCTCCGTCCACGACACTGACACAGACGTCTAATTTTATGCCTTTGATAATTTTTATGAATATTAATTACGGATGATTAAATATACTGGAATTTTATATAAAATACCTAATATAAGTAGAATGTACGTAAATATATATTGTAAACAGGAGTTCCTTCAAGTTAATAAAGCTTTTTGTACATATTTTGCTGTCTGTAGGCTATTT